AAAAGATCTTCAATGGGTTCATTCAGCAAACCTATAATAATAAAAGCATAATATGCTAATTAGACTGGATGTCCTTCTGATGACCTTCTGGATGAAGCTGGGGCTTCGAGGGAAGCCTGGGTCCAAGTGCTGGAAGGGAAGCCAGTGCTGGCAGCTGGGAGAAGGAAGGCCTACCCTTGCACGAATTTTGTGCATCAGGCCTCTAGTATTTAATAAAGATCTTATTATGTTATAGAAGAGCAAAGAAATACCAAGCACAATTCCTAGAGAAAGGGAGGGACCCCGTTTATTAACACTAGTGGACTCCAGGAATAATTTCCAAATCAGTGTGAAATAACACGTAGAGGCTTCGCTTTTTATAACCTTCTGGGGTCTTTGTCTTGCAGATATGGTTTCACCCCCTTTCATGGGCTTACAGAAAGTCCCCCAGGTGTTGATGATCTATCCTGGGGCCAGCGATAATGACCTTCCCTCCCCACCCCAGGGCAGTGCATTGTTCACAGTTTTTATGGCCTGACACGCCTTGCAAGACCAGTTGTGGGCTTGATCCTCAGTGTGGGCATGCAGGAGGCAGCCAATCAATGATTCTCTCTCCTCATTGATGTTTCTCTCTCTCTTCATTTCTGAAATCAATAAAAATATATTAAAAATTAAAATAAATAAAGTTGAAAACATACTTTGCATCTGATATTAGGATAAATCCATATATAATCCAAATACTTAAAAATAAATAATGAAACTATATTAGTACTTGGAGAAACCATAAGAAAGTTGTTTTCTTTTCCTCTCAATGTTCGGAAAGACTTTCAAAGTGTAGCACAAAATTCAGAAGGCATTAAAGAAAAGATTAGCCGAAACCGGTTTGGCTCAGTGGATAGAGTGTCGGCCTGCGGATTGAAGGGTCCCAGGTTCGATTCCGGTCAAGGGCATGTACCTGGGTTGCGGGCACATCCCCTGTAGGAGATGTGCAGGAGGCAGCTGATCAATGTTTCTCTCTCATCGATGTTTCTAACTCCCTATCTCTCTCCCTTCCTCTCTGTAAAAAAATCAATAAAATATATTTTAAAAAAAGAAAAGATTAATAAGGATGAGAACATATAGACTTTTTTGGTATGGCATGAACCATCACAATCAAAAATGAGTTGAGAAAATATTGGTAACTCATATAAAAGAAAAATTACTAATTCCCCTATTTGTAAAAGTTCCTGTAAAATGATAATTCAAAATCTAACAAGCCAATAAGAAAATGATTATAGGTCATAAATTCACAACTTCTCAAAATAAAAATGGCTCTTAAACATATGGACAGAAACCAAATAATAATAACAGAGATGAAAATTAAAATTACATAGAGTTATATTTTACTCATGGAAATATAAAAGACCAAAACTTTTGGCAGTTATTGGCGACCAGATCAGCAGGAGAGGGCAGTTGGGGGCCATAACGCTGGCAGGGGAGGGCAGTTAGGGGCGACTAGGCCAGAAGGAGAGGGCATTTGGGAGTGACCAGGCCTGCAGGGCAGGGCAGTTGGGGGCGATCAGGCTGGCAGGGGAGGGCATTTGGGGGCAATCCGGTCAGCAGGGGAGGGCAGTTGGGGGTGATTGGGCTGGCAGGGGAACGGTTAGGGGTGATCAGGCAGACAGGTAGGCAAACGATTAGGAGCCAGCAGTGCCAGATTGTGAGAGGGATGTCTGACTGCCGGTTTAGGCCTGATCACACAGGGATTGGGCCTAAACCGGCAGCAGACATTGCCCAAGGGGTCCCAGATTGGAGAGGGTTCAGGC